GATTCCCACCAAGGCAGGGTGGCCCGAAAAAGAAAAACTTTCACCATCATTCACCCCATCACTGTCTTGCCAGAAGGGTGCTTTACACTACAGTCTGGCCTGCCGCTTTCCCTGAACCCCTTCATAAATGTTACTTTGCTCACACTCCAATAGCACGTCAAGTATTAAAAACCATTTGTCTCCATTCACTCCTATCAAACACGCTCACGCATGCCTGCTGGAAGTCCAAGCCCCTCGCACACAAAACCTCCTTTACCCCCTCCCTCCAACCTTTCCTAGGCTGACCCCTACCCCGCCTTCCTTCCACTACAGACTGATACACTCTTGAAGTCATTCTGTTTCGCTCCATTCTCTCTACATGTCCGAACCACCTCAAGAACCCTTCCTCAGCCCTCTGGACAACAGTTTTGGTAATCCCGCACCTCCCAAAACTGTTGTCCAGAGGGCTTTTCCTGGTATACTCAGTAAACTAATTCCTCTATAATTTTTACAATCTCTTTTGTCCCCCTTCCCTTTATATTAAGGAACTATAGATGCTCTCTGCCAATCACTAGGTACCTGCCCCTCTTTCATACATTTATTAAACAAAAATACCAACCACTCCAACACTATATTCCCCCCTGCTTTTAACATTTCTGTCATGATCCCATCAGTTCCAGCTGCTTTACTCCCTTTTATTCTATGTAATGCCTCATGCACCTCCCCCACACTCACATCCTGCTCTTCACTCCTAAAAGATGGTATATCTCCCTGGCCAATGCACGAAATTACCGCCTCCCTTTCTTCGTCGACACTTAAAAGTCCCTCAAAATATTCCCACCATCTACCCAATACCTCCATCTCCCCATCTACTAACTCCCATACTCGGTTTTTAACTGACAAATCCATTCATTCCCTAGGCTTTCTTAACCTGTTTAACTCCAAATTTTTTTCTTATTTTCATAAAATTTCTTGACAGTGCCTCTCCCACTCTATCATCTGCTCTCCTTTTGCACTCTCTCACCACTCTCTTCACCTTTCTTTTACTCTCCATATACTCTGCTCTTCTTATAACACTTCTGCTTTGTAAAAACCTCTCATAAACTACCTTTTTCTCTTTTATCATACCCTTTACTTCATCATTCCACCAATCACTCCTCTTTCCTCCTGCACCCACCCTCCTATAGCCACAAACTTCTGCCCCACATTCTAATACTGCATTATTAACCCTTTCAGGGTTTCGGCTGTACTAATACGGCTTACGCACCAGGGTTTTTGACGTATTTGTACGCCTAAATTCTAGTGCCCTCAAATCTAGTGAGAGAAAGCTGGTAGGCCTACATATAAAAGAATGGGTCTATGTGGTCAGTGTGTGCGGTTTAAAAAAAAATCCTGCAGCACACAGTGCGTAATGAGAAAAAAAAAAAACTTTGACCGTGTTTATGGATTAAAACAGCGACTTTGCACTGTATTTTCATATGGTATTTATTGTTGCATTCTAGTTTTCCTAGTCTCATTTTATAGAATGGAAGACATATTACAGAAATTGAGATGATTTTGACTGGTTTTACAAAGAAAACTACCTTGAAATTGCGCTCAAAGTAGGAGAAATGTTCGATTTTTACCAAAGTTCAAAAGTAAACAAATCATACTATGCGTCCAATACACGTCAACTGGCGAGTCTAATATTCTTCCACAAGTTCTCTGATAATATTTATACCATTTCTATACCAATGCAGTAGTCTGCATAACAGTAAATCTTCTATTTTTTTGTGAGAATAAAAATTCAAAGTGGAAAGCAAAAGAATGTAAGAGGGGCATGGGGATGTGACTAATGAACAGAGGAAATGTTATTTTAGTGCCAGGAATGTCGTTCTTGTTTATTCTGGACCCTATTCAGAGATTGGCATCTTTTGAAATTTGTGTGAAATTGGCAAAATTGCTAAATTCTGACCAATGTATTGGATAGTTGAAATCGGTAAATGGGTGGTTTCTTGTACTCATTCGATAGAAAAAATGGAGTTCTAGCAAAATAGTTATGATTTTTGTCGACAAGTACACTGGAATTGGCCGGAAATAGGGCTCAAAGTGGGAAAAATCGCCGATGTGTAAACATTGTCGAGACCGCTAACTTCGCGAGAGCATAATTCCGTAAGTTTTCCATCAAATTTCATACTTTTGGTGTCATTATGATCGGGAAAAGATTCTCTATCTTTTCATAAGAAATAATTTTTTTTTTTTTTGCAATTTGGCCGACCCTGAGAACAAGTCTCTGAGAGGGCCTGTTGACCCTGAGAGGGTTAAAACTATTCCAACTCTCTTCAAGCCCCCACTACTCGTACTTGCACTCGCCCACCTTTCTGCCAATAGTTGATTATATCTCACCCGAACTTCCTCCCTTAGTTTATACACTTTCACCTCTCTCTTACTTGTTGTTGCCATTTTCCTCTTGTCCCATCTACCTCTTACTCTAACTGTAGCTAAAACTTAATAATGATCTGATATATCAGTTGCCCCTCTATTAACATGTACATCCTGGAGCCTACCCATCAACCTTTTATCCACCAATACATAATCTAACAAACTACTTTCATTATGTGCTACATCATACCTTGTATATTTATTTATCCTCTTTTTCATAAAGTATGTATTAATCATTACCAAGCCTATTTCTAAACATAGCTCAATTAAAGGCTCCCCATTTTCAATTACCCCTGGCACCCCAAATTTACCTACCACACCCTCCACAACATTTTTACCCACTTTACTATTGAAATCTCCAACCACCATTACTCTCACACTTGGTTCAAAACTTCCCACACATTCACTCAACATTTCCCAAAATATCTCTCTCTCCTCTATACTTCTCTTCTCCAGGTGCATATATGCTTACTATAACCCACTTTTCACATCCAACCTTTATTTTACTTCACATAATCCTTGAATTAATACATTTAGTCTCTCTTTTCCTGCCATAGCTTATCCTTCAACATTATTGCTACTCCTTCTTTAGCTCTAACTCTATTTGAAATCCCTGACCTAATCCCATTTATTTCTCTATGCTGAAACTATCCCACCCCCTTCAGCTTTGTTTCACTTAAAGCCAGGACATCCAGCTTCTTCTCATTCATAACATCCACAATCATCTCTTTCTTACCATTCGCACAACATCCATGCACATTCAGATATCCCACTTTGACAATATTCTTCTTCTTATTCTTTTTAGTAATCATTACAGGAAAAGGGGTTACTAGCCCGGCATTTTAGTCGACTTTTACAACACGCATGGCTTACGGAGGAAAGATTCTTATTCCACTTCCCCATGGATATAAATGGAAAATTAATAAGAAAAAGAAGTATTAAGATAAAATCAAATAAAACTCAGATGAGTGTTTATAAATAAACATGTACATGAATGTGTAGTGTGACCTAAGTGTAAGTAGAAGTAGCAAGACGTACCTGTAATCTTGCATATTCATGAGACAGACAAAAGACACCAGCAATCCTGCCATCATGTAAAACAATTACAGGTTTTCGTTTTACACTCACTTGGCAGGACGGTAGTACCTCCCTGGGTGGTTGCTGTCTACCAACCTACTACCTACATATAAAGGAATTATACAAGCTCAACACCAATTTCTAGGTACCTTTCCCTCTTTCATACATTTACTGAACCAAAGTCCCAACCACTAAAACTATATCCTCACATGCTTTTATAATTTCTGTCATGATCCATCACATCCAGATGGTTTACCCTCTTTCATTCTACCCAATGCCTCATGCACCTTCCCCACATACACATCCAGCCCTTCTCCACTCCTAAAAGATGTTTTACCTCCCTGGCCAATGCATGAAATTACTGCCTCCCTCTCTTCATCAACATTTAACAGTTTCTCAAAATATTCCCATCTTCCCAATACCTCCAACTCCCTATCTACTAGCTCTCCTACTCTGTCTTTAACTGTCAAATCCATTTGTTCCCTAGGCTTTCTTAACCTATTTATCTCACTCCAAATTTTTTTCTTATTCTCAGCAAAATTTGTTGACAGTGCCTCACCAACTCCATTTGCTGTCCTTTTTGCACTCTCTCACCACTCTCTTCACCTTTCTTTTACTCACTATACGTATATTTTCATATAGTCGGACTTGAGTCCTGGAAATGGGAAGTACAATGCCTGCACTTTAAAGGAGGGGTTTGGGATATTGGCAGTTTGGAGGGATATGTTGTGTATCTTTATATGTGTATGCTTCTAGACTGTTGTATTCTGAGCACCTCTGCAAAAACAGTGATAATGTGCGAGTGTGGTGAAAGTGTTGAATGATGATGAAAGTATTTTCTTTTTGGGGATTTTCTTTCTTTCTTGGGTCACCCTGCCTCGGTGGGAGACGGCCGACTTGTTGAAAAAAAAAAAAAAAAAAAAAAAAAAACGTATATTCCATCCTTCTTATATCACTTCTGCTTTGTAAACACCTTTTATATGCAATATTTTTCTCTTTTATCACACCCTTTACCTCATCATTCCACCAATCACTCCTCTTTCCTCCTTCACCCATCCTCTTATAGCCACAAACTTCTGACCCACATTCTAACACTACCTTTTTAAAACTATCCCAACCCTCTTCAACCCCCCCACACTACTTATACTCTCGTGAGCCCACCTTTCTCCCTAATTCCTCCTCCCTTAGTTTATAAACTCTCACCTCTCTCTCTTACTTGCTCTTGCCATTTTCCTTTTGCTCCATCTACCTCTTACTCTAACTGTAGCTACAACTAAATAATGATCTGACACATCTGTTACCTTCTCTATAAACATGTACATCCTGGAGCCTACCCATCAATCTTTTATCCACCAATACATAATCTAACAAACTACTATCATTATGTACTATATCATATCTTGTATATTTATTTATCCTCTTTTCTTTAAAATATTATTATTTCAAAATAATGCCTTCTAGATCATTCTTCATAAATTCGAATAAAGGGAAGTTAATAAAACGTAAAAAAGAATGATTCTCACCTGTGCATGCTTTACTGTGTGCATTCAAGGTCCATAATGGCTTGTTTTGACGACCATCAATACCAAAAACTGTTCCTTTATCAGTGCTAGCCTGAAATACATTTTTTCCATCAAGATACAAATATTTAACAATTTTAAAACAGATGTAACTTAAAGTGGTAAAGAGAAAGTTTACATTAACCACAGTTTGGGCCTACAATACACCTTATGTAAAATCCATTAAATACATTTTTTGCCATCATTTAGCTCTTTCAGGGTGTAGACCCCCAATCTGAAACTTTTCCACAGGGTTCAAAAATGTTCAATTTTTTTTTCTTATGAAATAGCAGAGAATATTTTTCTGAGGACAAACAAAAAGTACAAAATTTGATGGAAAATTGATGAAATTACACTATTGTGAGTTTTGCTGTGCCAGCAATATTTACACATTGGCAATTTTGCCGACTTTGAATCCCATTTTTGGCCAATTACTTTGTTCCAGTTGACCAAATTATTAGCTATTTTGCTAATAATTTTATTGATTGAGCACAAGAAACTGCTCAATTAACTTTTTCAACTCCCAATAAAGTGGTCAGAAATTGGTAATTTGGCCAATTTCACACAAATTTCAAAATATTCCAATTGCAAAATAGGTCCAAAATAAACAATGCAAGCATTCCTGACACTAAAATAACATTTCCTCTGTTCATTAGCTATGTTTCCAGGCTTTAAACATGAATTCCATTTTGATTTTGTATTCATGCAAAGAATTTTTATTCACACCAAAAAATAGATTTACTATTATGCAATATTGTAATAATTGTATAAATAATATCAGCACATTTGTGAATGTATATTAGACCCACCAGTTGATGTGTATTAGACGCGTGATGTGATTTGTTTACTCTTCGAACTTTTCCACTACTCTGAGCTCAATTTCAAGCCATTTTCAGTCCTAAAACCAACCAAAATCGTCTTTATAATATATCTTCCATTCTATCAAATGAGACCAAGAAACCATGAATACAACCATATGAAAATACAGTAGAACCTCTACCTACGAATTTAATAAGTTTCGTGACCTTGCTCGCATCTCGATTTCCTCGTCTGTTGCGTCAATTTTTCTCATTTAAATTAATTGAAATGAAATTAATCCATTCCAGTGGACTTCCAGGCATTACAAAATACTTCTATATTTATCTATCACAATACATCTAATATGACACAATAAACAATATTAATAACATAGAAACATGATATATACACTAGAATGAATGAAATATTACGTACATGAGTAATGGTAGTGGAGGCGGTAGCACAGCAGCCATTGTTGCTGGGGTGTATAGGGCCACCACAGCAGCAATTCCTGCTCCTGACTACATACCTTCCCATGCTTTTATTATAACAGAAAATGGAGTGTTTGTAAGGCAAACTCCATTAGATCACTATTTACATAGTTTCATAAGGAAAACAACAATAATAATAATAATAATAATAACATTAATATTAATAATAATAATATTAATTAGTACATATGTATTCTTATAATAATACTCTTGCTTACCATTTGGAATTTTTTTTCACACAAAAAATAGATTTACTGTTATGGAGACTACTGCATTATAGTAATAACTGCATAAATAATGTCAACACATTCATGACTGTGTATGAGACTGGCCAGGTGGACATGTATTGGATGGTGACTTCATTTGTTTACTCTTGAACATCAATTTCAAGGTACTTTTCATTATGAAAGCAAAGAAAATCATATCTATTTCTGTAATATATCTTCCATTCTATCAAATGAGACCGAAAAAATGAGAATACAACCATAAAAACCATATAAAAATATACAGCTAAGGGGCAGCTAATGGCTGAGAAGTGAACTCCATTATTTATGGTCTGATTTCTTTCAATTTTGGTGTACGTTAAGAAGCATCTTTCCATCACACATTGCCCAAGTTTCAGTAAGATAGTCTAACAAACAAGTGAGATCCAATTCCCTAGATCAAGAGCAAGAGCCCTTCCCTTGAGGCCCGCTCGCATCTGAAAGTAAAAAATCGACCGAGCAACTGCTCGTATCTTGAAAACTCACATGTTGTGGCACTCATAAGTAGAGGTTCCCTTGTACACCCAAGTTGCTGTTTTAAACTAAAATCACGGTCGCATTTTTTTTTCATTATGCACTGCATGCTGAAGGATTTCTTTTTATATGGTGCACACTTACCATATAGACCCATTCTCTCACATCTATGCCCAAATTTACCGCTCACAGCTTATTTGAGCGAGTCGAGCTCTTGGCGTAGAACTATGGCACGGACCCTCAAGGGGTTAATAAAAAAAATCTGTTGCATATGTTTATTTTATTTACTTCTTTTTTCAACAAACTGGCTGTATCCCACCAAGGCAGGGCGACCTAAGAAGAAAAACAAAAGCTTCTCTTTTTAAATTCAGTAATTTATACAGAAGGGGTTACTGGTCCCTTGCTCCTGGCATTTTAGTCACCTCTTACAACACACATGGCTTACAGAGGAAGAATTCTGTTCCACTTCTCCATGGAGATATGTTTATATCAAGCAAAATTAACCCTTTCCTGGTCTGTCCCATAGATCTACGGCTTCACGTTGAGTGTCCAAACCGTAGATCTACGCCAAAATTCTAGCGCCGTCAAATTTAGCGCGAAAATGCTCATAGGCCTACATGTGAGAGAACGGGTCTGCGTGGTGGGTGTGCGCCATAAACAAAAAATCTAGGCGCCCACATAGCATTGTGGGAACGCCGGCTCAGTTACCCTTGTTCACCATGCCTCGTCGCAAGACAGCTCTCACTCCAAGGAAAACTGGGACTCTCCTGTTCCTATGTGATAGTTCTAACAGTGATGGAAGTGAAAATGAAGACGAATTCTTTGGCTTTGATCAGTTAGTGACCGAAAGGAATGACCAGGATATCGATAATAGTGCAGAAAACTCTGACAATCCTCAACCTTCTACCTCTGGTGTGGGCACTCGTCAGTCACGGTCAGCTGCACCTCAACGCAAGGGAAAACTATTATTTTCGCATGGCCAGGCCTCTGAATTCAGTAATGATGATGATAGTGACGTGGATTGTGATTTTATTGCTCTTGACAATCATTCGTGTAGTGATAGTGAAGAATCATATTCACCAGTGAAGCATTGGTATGTATGCCGCCGCATGCGCTCGGGTAGTGTACCCTATGCCGTGCCCAGGGGATGGAGTACATCCCGGAGTACATCCCATGGCCCTACACCAGGTATAGATAGTGATAGTGAGGATGATGTGGCTACACTTGGCATGGATAGACCACAGGCATCAGTAGATGGTGGTAGTGGTGATGGTAGTGCCACGGCCATGCGTGACTCACCAGCCCAGGCTGGGACCCACGCTGCTGACTCCGCAGTTCAAGGACAAAGTGGAGCGTCAGCCACCAGCCCACCACAACTACCCGCACAACCAACCTATGATGTCCAGTATCCACCAGCAAACCGTATCTGGGATTGGCAGCAAAATCCTAATTTTGTTCCCAAGCCCCACCACTTTGATGACTCTGAAAGTGGAATTCTATCAACTTGTTCCCTTGGAAACACTGCAAATGAACTGGAATTCTTTGAACTATTCTTTGACCAGCCACTAATGGAAACTATTGTCAGGGAAAGTAATAAGTATTTTGAGTACACCATGGCAAATACGATCATATCACCACAGTCAAGACTACACCGGTGGAAAGAGACGACTGTTGCAGAAATGTACAGTGGACCCCCACTTTACGATCACCTCCCAATGTGACCAATTATGTAAGTGTATTTATGTAAGTGCATTTGTACGTGTATGTTTGGGGGTCTGAAATGGACTAATCTAATTCACAATATTCCTTGTGGGAACAAATTCGTTCAGTACTGGCACCTGAACATACTTCTGGAATGAAATAATATCGTAAACCGGGGGTCCACTGTATTTGCTTTTTGCAACAATAATGCTTATGCCTCATGTCTATAAGCATAATATAAAAGCATACTGGTCCACAGATCGGCTAATTTCTACCCCGGTCTTCAGTGAAATCATCCCAGTGAACAGGTTTATCTTACTGTTACGTATGTTGCACTTCTCTGACAAAATCAGGCCTGACAGAAGTGACAGGTTATACAAGATTAGAAATGTTTTATGTATCTCAAACAAAAGTTCAGCATGTACTTTTATCCATTCAAGAATCTTGTAATTGACGAGTCTTTGATTTTGTTCAAATGTACGCTGTCATTCAAGCAGTATATACCGAGCAAGAGGAAACGCTTTGGTATAAAACTATTTGTACTCTGTGACTGTGACAGTGGCCTGGTATTGAATATTGTTGTATACACGGAAGTAAAACATTGAAAGATACCAAGATGTTATTGGGTATCTCAGGTGACGTAGTGAGAAGCATGATGCACCTTATCTTGGTAAGGGGCATACATTATATACCGATAACTGGTACACAAGCCCATTACTCAGTGATTTCTTGCGAGTGAACAAGACAGATGTGTGTGGCACAGTGCGCTCAAATCGTAAACATATGCCCAGGCTCAACGCAGGTGCTTGTGGTGATGACGTGCAGGTGTTTACTGCCAATGACATCATGGCATTACGGTGGCATGACAAACGAGATGTCACATTGTTGACAACCTTTCACCGTAATGAAATGCAAGACAGTGGCAAAGTTGATAGAGTGACTAATGAACGTATTCGAAAACCAGTGACAGTGATTGATTATATACAAAACATGCGCTTGGTTGACAAATGTGACATGCAGATTGGCTTTGTTGATTGTGTTCGTAAAAGTTACAAGTGGTACATGAAACTTTTCTTCCATCTCATGGACATTTCAATGCTCAATGCATATAATATGTACCAAATGAAGACTAGCAACAGACCACCGTATGGTGAATTTTGTTTGTCTGTTGTCAGACAACTAATGATGAAGTACCAGGTAACAACACCTGCTATACAACAAGGCCCTGAAACTCCTCAGGATATACCCAAGCGTTTGAGGAGGGAAGGTGATCATTTCATAATACAGCTTCCTTCAACTCAGAAGAAATTTGCTCAGAAGAGATCCATTGTCTGTGCACAAACAAAACGACGGCAACAAAGACACAAAGACACTCGGTTTATGTGTGAGGAATGTAAGGTACCTCTGTGCATGGTGCCTTGTTTCAAGGAGTTCCACAAGCTCCAGCAGTTCTAAAACCATGTCCAGTGATTGTAAATATGTAAATATATGATAGAACATTAGTATTATACACTACCAACCTGTTGGTATTGTATACCATTTTGATATTCACCCTGTCAGACACTGCAACACAATGGCATCTTGATACAGAAAACACCTTGGACAACTTTTTCAAGTGAGAATTGTTTGATCTGAGAGGGACGTGACCTCTCAGTGGCTACATTCTCACTACTACTACTACTCGTGCACCTCTCCTTGCGACAGTATTTAAGTCTCTGCACTGTCGCTTGATCTTCAGGTAGTTCCTGACTATGGAACTGAACTTCTCCAGGCTGAGGGACTGACAACCTCAAATCTACGACTTCAAGGGTGATGGACTGATTACATTGTCTTCACATCTCTACCGTTCCTGCCTACTTTCTGTATTCGGCTGAAGAAGTCGACTGTGTAGGCAAAACGTTTCGGAATAAAGTTGCCTAACTGTTGCCTATGTGTCTTACCTACCAACTTGGAGGGATATGTTGTCTCTCGATAATCGTAGGACTCGAGAGTCGTACTTTTCGGAAATCGGAGTGATATTTTCGTAAAACATGGGTTCGCTAATCATAGACTGACGCGCAGAATAGTAGTTTGTCCGGGACAGGTACACACAGCCCCGAGCCGCCTCACACTCCATTCCCAGCCAGTGTGCCATTGTTTATCAGTGAGTGAGGATGATCCCACGAGTTCATACGATACATTTCATAATATTCCATTCGTTTTAGTGTTTGCAACTGCTAAATAAGCCACCTTGGTTCCAAAGAAAGCTTCTAGTGCAGCCTTTGGTAAAGAATGTGAGAAACACACATAATTTAAGAAAAAGTTTGTAGAAAAATATGAAGGTGGTGGTGGTAGAGTGGAAGCAGTTATGATAGTGGTTGATGGTGGTAGAGGGTGGTAGTGATGGTGGTAGCAGTTGCAATAGAGATAGAAGGTGGTAATAATGGTGGTAGCAGTTGTAATAGTGGTAGAAGGTGGTAGTGATGGTGGTGATTCAGGCTTCAGGCTTCAGTGATTTAGGCTTTCCCAGCTGGAATATATCTCACACAGATCTCGTGTGCTTCTGTATCTTGCTTTCCATGCACTGGTACTGGGTTAACGAAGCTCAAGACCTGAAGAATGAGACATTTGTGAAACATTTGAGAATCTCTCATCTTCCATCTTTTTTTTTTTTTGTTCTATCAACTCCTCCAATGTTGCTGGAGTTATATAGGGCTACAGAAAACACCGGCGCCTCAGCTGCTGCTTCACCACCATTATGGACGGCTTACTCTCAGTGGCCCTTATATACCCAACAACAACACAACACCTCTCGTGACATACATAATGACTTATTTTATTCATTCTAGAGTATATTCCATATTTCTATGTTATTAATATTGTTTATTATGTCATATTAGTTGAATTGTGATAGATAAATAAGTTGCAGAGTTGATATTACTGCCATTCTCCAACAATGAACTTGTCATCCCTCCCTCACACAAACAAGTCTCCAATAAGAATATAAGAAAGGAGGAACACTGCAGTAGGCCTGTTGGCCCATACTAGGCAGGTCATTTACAATCCTTCCCACTAACAACATAACAATGGAAGAACACTGCAGGTCTACTGGCCCATACAAGGCAGGTCCTTATCAAAATGACCTCAACCCAAAGCTACCCAAGAATTTACTCCCGTACCCAATGACACAAATCAAACTCAGCTCCTCCCAATCATACATTTGTCCAATCTCTTCTTAAAGCTACCCAAGGTCCTAGCCTCGATCACCCTACTGGTAAGTGTGATGTTAAATAAGAACATAAGAACTTAAGAAAGTAGGAACACTGCAACAGGCCTGCTGGCCCATACTAGGCAGGTCCTTCACAAATCCAACCACTAACAGAACAAATGCTACCCAAGCAATAAGCTCAGGTGCAAGTCCGACTCAAATCCAACCCCTCTCACTCACATATTTCTTCTTCTTTCAACACACCGGCCGTATCCAACCAAGGCAGGGTGGCCCAAAAGGAAAAATGAAAGTTTCTCCTTTTACATATACATGAGAAGAGGTTACTAGCCCCTTGCTCCCGGCATTTTAGTCGCCTCTTACAACACGCATGGCTTACGGAGGAAGAATTCTATTCCATTTCCCCATGGAGATAAGAGGAAATAAACAAGAATAAGAACCAGAAAGAAAATAGAAGAAAACCCAGAGGGGTGTGTATATATATGCTTGTACATGTATGTGTAGTGTGACCTAAGTGTAAGTAGAAGTAGCAAGACATACCTGAAACCTTGCATATTTATGAGACAGAAAAATGGACACCAGCAATCCTACCATCATGTAAAACAATTACAGGCTTTCGTTTTACATTCATTTGGCAGGACGGTAGTACCTCCCTGGGCGGTTGCTGTCTGCCAATCTACTACTTATACTCACGTATTTATCCAACCTAAATTTGAAACTACCCAAGCCATAGCTTTCAGAACATAAGAAAGGAGGAACACTGCAATAAGCCTGTTGGCCCATACTAGGCAGGTCCTTCACAAATCCAACCCACTAACAAGCATAACTGCTATACCCAAGCAATAAGCTTTGATAAACCTATTTACTCATGTGCAAGACCGATTCAAACCAACCCCTCTCACTCATGTATTTATCCAACCTAAATTTGAAACTACCCAATGTTTTAGCTTTGATCACCCTACTAGGCAGACCGTTCCACTCATCAACTATCCCTATTCCCAATGTTCATTTATACATTTTATTAGTGCTTTACATTTATTTGGCATTCTTTTCTGCATGCAAATCTATATTTAAGCTATGTATGTGACCCCTGAAGTGACCTCGAGTCCTTATGGAGGGGGATTCCCCTTCCAAACAATAACCTCTCTTCTCTCTATCCTCCTCCCTCTCTTCCATTCATCAACAACAGCCTTCAATAAAGGTAACTGTCATGTTGAATGTTCATTCTTTTGTGCATGTAAATCTATCTTTAATGTAAAAAAAATTGTTGTTGATACTTCTGGGTGTCAGGAATGGATTAATTGTATTTACATTATTTCTTATGGGGAAAATTGATTCGAAAATCATACATTTCGATAATAGTAGCACCTCCAGGAACGGATTAATTACGAAAAACAAGGGACCACTGTACATGCTTCTAAACTGTTGTGTTCTGAGCACCTCTGCAAAAACAGTGATTATGTGTGAGTGAGGTGAAAGTGTTAAATGATGATGAAAGTATTTTCTTTTTGGGGATTTTCTTTCTTTTTGGGTCACCCTGCCTCGGTGGGAGACGGTCGACTTGTTATAAAAAAAAAAAAACAGGTTCATTCTATCTGATTAATTAAAGAACACTTAAACCATATTAAAGCTGTTAAGACAAAAGTTTGCAAACAACTGTACAGCAATGAAATTGTCAGAATTCTTCTCAGCAATTTTTAACATCATCCACTTCTTACCAAGATAAGGTCCCCCCCAAAGAAGGAAAAATTCTCTAGCTGTCTATGCAAAATTGCAAACATTACAATTCAAATGACTCTCCAAATTGCAACATCATTAACATTACTTCTACAGTATTACTACTAAGCAACCTAACTACTTACCAAACAGTTGTAAGGTTTATCAGTGTGTGTCTCCCATATAACACATTCAATTTCTCCATCAAGTTCCCAAGTTTTAAAAGTGCTGTTGTCTCGGCAGTCAAACATTTTTGCTTTCCTGTAATGTATCACAGTATATGAAAAAGTCTCTACTCATAAAATATACATAGTATTAACTAATTGGAGATCATTAAAATGAACTAAACAAGGTACAAAAAATAGTTTGAAAGTCATTAATTATCATTAAGTTGTACAGACTTTGTAAAATTAAACAAAAATAGTGCTGCACTAATTTATTTTTCCAAGTTAACACTACCAAATTTCAGTGGAGAAATTCTAAACTATGAGTTATTTTTAAGTTCAATATACAAGTCAAACCCATATAGAACACAGATCCAAGTAATACTAACAAATTTAAGTACAGTAATTGCTCACTTATCATTTCGTTCAACATCATTTCATTATAACATTGATGAGAAAAAAAAAATCAATTCCTGGCTAGGGCCACTGTATGTGTGGAGTTTGCGTGTTCATTTTTGAATTGTGTGGCAGTAGGAGGTGCTCGTGAAAGGTCAATGGTTATGAAAGGTCATCCTGCCCTAGCGGTCTGGGGGATTAGTGTGGAGCGTTATAGACCACCATGGCTTACTGTAGTGTTTTGGAATCTCAGGTTAAAGTGTTGAAGGAGGAGGTTCTACTTCTCCAAGAGGAAAATAGGAGGCTGAAAATTTGCCTAGATGGATTTGGGAGTGAGTGTGAGAAGGGCGAGTTGGTGTAGAGGAAAAGGTTACCAGCAGTGAGTTGAAGAGTGGTAGGAGCTTCAAGTGGAATGTGGTCTCTACTAAAGGTAGAAGTACATGTATCAAGATAAGGAAATTGATTTTCTGTTCTCTGGGATGAGTGTACTTCAGTGGTTAGTGAGGGTAAAGGTACCACTAACTTCCCTGCTAATCAAGGTAAGAACATTCTGATTGTAGGTGACTCACAGGTAAGATATATGGACCATGCTTTCTGTAACAGATAGGAATGTTAGACAGTGTGTGTGCTTCCCAGGATCTAATGTTAATGACATAGTCAACAGGTTGGATAATGCAGGTCTCCCTCAACATTCGCGAGGGTTAGGGGATCAAGAACCTTGCGAATGTTGAAAAATCGCAAATGTTTGGTTCCCCAATATATTGTAGGGAAATATAATACAATACTGCTACCTTAACCTATTGAACATGAACAATCATAAAACACATGAAAACATTGTACAATATTGTACTAGTGCCAGCCCTTTAGTAAAGAAGGTGAGATAAACTATAGAATTCAAGAAAGAACTTGTAGCAGAGTACCAAAGTGGAGGAGGAAGAGAGAGGGAAGAATGTGCCTTCTTCAGTGATTCAACGACATGTACGATACTAAAGCAGCAGGAGCCGATAAAGGCTGTAGTGCCAGCCAGTGATAAAGTGTAGCATTAACAGTGTAGCAAGTAAGTTAAGCGATTAATCAATAGAAAAAGGACAGCATGAACCTAATTCCTCCAATGTTGTTGGAATTATATAGGGCGATTGACAACACCACTGTCTCTAGTCTCTACTGCTGCTGCCGCTTCCACCACCACGTACAGTTTATGTCTGTAGCTCTTATACACCCAACAACAACAACACAGCAACACTCGTGACATACATAATGATGTATTTTATTCATTCTAGAGTATATGTCATGTTTCTATGTTATTAATAGTGTTTATTATGTCATATTAGATGAATTGTGATAGATAAATAAACCGTAGAGTTGATATTAGTGTCATATTGAAGGACTATCTTGTCCTATCTCCAAACAAACTCTGCCACTGCCACAATTCCTAGCATATGTAATGACATATTTTAACCCCTTCAGGGCCCAAGGCCCAAATCTGAAATGGTGCCCCAGTGTCCAAGAATTTAAAAAAAAAAAAAAATTTGTTATTTTTCTTATGAAATGGAAGAGAATCTTTTTGTGAAGGTAATAAAACAAAAAGTACGAAATTTGATGGAAAATTGACGAAATTATGCTCTCGCGAATTTTGATGTGTCAGCGATATTTACGAAGCGGCGATTTTGCAGACTTTGACTCCCATTTTAGGCCAATTACATTATTCCAGTCAACCAAATTCTTAGCTATTTCACTAGTATTACTTCTATCTATCGATTGAGCACAAGAAATCACCAAGTCAACTGTTTCAACTACAAATTAAAGTGATCGGAAATTGTTAATTTGGCCAATTTAACACAAAGTTCAAAATATTCCAATTTCAAAATAGGGTCCAGAATAAACAATGTAGGTATTCCTGGAACTAAACTAACATTTCCTCTGTTCATTAGTTACGTTTTGAGGCTTTACAAATAAATTCCATTTTGATTTTTATCCACATAATGAATTTTTATTCACACCAAAAAATAGAAGATTTACTGTTATGCAATACTGTAATAATTGTATAAATATCATCACCATATTCATGAATGCATATCAGACCCACCAGCTGGTGTGTATTAGACGTGTGAGGTCGTTTGTTTACTCTTGAACATTGGCAAAAATTTAACATTTCTGCTACTTTGAGCTCAGTTTCAAGCCATTTCCAGTGCTAAAACCAATCAAAATCATCTCTATTTCTGTAATATGTCTTCCATTCTACCAAATGAGACTAAGAAATCGCAAATACAACTATAAAAACATGCGAAAAAACACTGCAAAGTCGCTGTTTTAATCAAAAAATCATGATTTCAGTTTTTTTTCTCTCATTATACATAGTGTGCTGCAGGATCTGTTTTATGTGGTGCACACATACCACATAGATGTATTCTCTCATATCTAGGCCCAAATGTACCACTCACAGTTTATCAGAGTGAGCTGAGCTTATGACGTAGATCTACGGTTTGGACACTGAACGTAAAGCCATAGATCTACGGGACGGACCCTGAAAGGGTTAAATATGATTGGGCAGCTGGGAATTCTCAAATGTTCGAAGCCTGCGAAGGTGGAAAACATGAATGTTGAGGGAGACCTGTATTATGTCAGATAATGGGAGCAAGTCCATCATCTGTCTTAGTGCTGATGGAAATAATATCAGGAAGGGCAGGAGACAAGAGCTGCTGGATAAGTACAAATCAGCCACTGATGTAATTACGTCTAAGGGAGGCGTCCCAATCACATGTAGCATCTTGCCCAGAAGGGGTGTGTGCAATTAATGAATGTCTAGGGCAATTGGTGTAAATTGCTGGCTAGACAGGTACTGCAAAGAATCTGCAATCCCACTCATTGATAACTGGGACAAATTTTATGGCATACGTGATATATATGCAAGGGATGGGGTACATCTCTCAGTGGCTGGACTGGTTGCATTAGCCAACTCGATTGAGGGAGCCATTGCTGACTTGTCTAGGACTTCAAACTGATAGATTATAAAAGTATGGGTGTGTATGGGAAACAATCAAGCTGCAGTACAAGGGTTGAAAACAGCAGATATTACCAGGATACCTCAGGGATATGTTTAATAGACAATATTCAAAATAAAGTTGCTAGTAAAGGCAAAGCATTTGATCAACAAAGAGATAATAGAGGGCAGAGAGTGACTAGCTCCCTTAAGGTTTACTCTATTAATAGTAGGAGTCTAAGAAACAATATAGATGAGCTAAGATTACTTGCAAGTGCAGGTAATATAGATTTTTTTTTTTTTTCAACAAGTCGGCCGTCTCCCACCGAGGCAGGGTGACCCAAAAAAGAAAGAAAATCCCCAAAAAGAAAATACTTTCATCATCATTCAACACTTTCACCACACTAACACATTATCACTGTTTTTGCAGAGGCGCTCAGGATACAACAGTTTAGAAGCATATAAGTATAAAGATACACAACATATCCCTCCAAACTGCCAATATCCCAAACCCCTCCTTTAAAGTGCAGGCATTGTACTTCCCATTTCCAGGACTCAAGTCTGACTATATGAAAATAACCGGTTTCCCTGAATTTTTTTTTTTTTTTTTATTATCACACTGGCCGATTCCCACCAAGGCAGGGTGGCCCGAAAAAGAAAAACTTTCACCATCATTCACTCCATCACTGTCTTGCCAGAAGGGTGCTTTACACTACAGTTTTTAAACTGCAACATTAACACCCCTCCTTCAGAGTGCAGGCACTGTACTTCCCATCTCCAGGACTCAAGTCCGGCCTGCCGGTTTCCCTGAATCCCTTCATAAATGTTACTTTGCTCACACTCCAACAGCACGTCAAGTATTAAAAACCATTTGTCTCCATTCACTCCTATCAAACACGCTCACGCATGCCTGAATCCCTTCACTAAATATTACCCTGCTCACACTCCAACAGATCGTCAGGTCCCAAGAATCATTCGTCTCCATTCACTCCTATCTAACATGCTCATGCACGCTTGCTGGAAGTCCAAGCCCCTCGCCCACAAAATCTCCTTTATCCCCTCTTTCCAACCCTTTCGAGGACGACCCCTACACCTCCTTCCTTCCCCTATAATTTATATGCTTTCCAATTCATTCTACTTTGATCCATTCTCTCTAAATGACCAAACCACCTCAACAACCCCTCTTCTGCCCTCTGACTAATGCTTTTATTAACTCCACACCTTCTCCTAATTTCCACACTCGAATTTTCTGAATAATATTTTACACCACACATTGCCCTTAGACAGGACATCTCCACTGCCTCCAACCGTCTCCTCGCTGCTGCATTTACCACCCAAGCTTCACATCCATATAAGAGTGTTGGTACTACTATACTTTCATACATTCCCTTCTTTGCCTCCATAGATAACGTTTTTTGACTCCACATATACCTCAATGCAACCACTCACCTTTTTTCCCTCATCAATTCTATGATTAACCTCATCCTCATAAATCCATCCGCCGACACGTCAACTCCCAATTATCTGAAAACATTCACTTCTTCCATACTCCTCCTCCCCAATTTGATATCCAATTTTTCTTTATCTAAATCATTTGATACCCTCATCACCTTACTCTTTTCTATGTTCACTTTCAACTTTCTACCTTTACACACATTCTCAAACTCATCCACTAACCTCTGCAATTTTTCTTTAGAATCTCCCATAAGCACAGTATCAGC